CATACATACATACATACATACATACATACATACATACATACATACAGTTTTAATGTAAACCAGCGTCTGTACTTTTGATACTGAGTGTTTTTAGCTAGTAAAGCCTGTAACTGTTTCTGTGATATAAATACTGAAATATTGAAATTTAACATGTAATCTGTGTCCATAATAACCAGATCCTGAAAAGTAGATGTGGCTTTCTGGATACAGAGCACAAACATTTACATTTAACTGATTTTGATTAATCGTTTTTAAATTCACAATTATTATATATATATATGTATACATACATGCATGCATCCATACATACATCTTTGAAAGATCTAAACAAAGATTTTTTTTTTCAAGGTTCAAAATGTCAGATTTTCTGGTCCTTATTGCGTGTTTTTATTATGACTGAGGTTGTTCTGTTCTGGCAATCTTTTTCATAGTAGATGTAAAACATTTTTCCAACGAAATTAGTTAAGATATAGGGAACAAGTAACGAAACCAACTAAAAAATTGTGATATTACCACCAGGGATCATTTAAGGACTATTTTATGCTAAACCATCTGTATATCCATGTCAGTCACAGACACACTGAAAGAACCAAATGTAGAACAGAAATAATCAGAATTGATCTGACTTTTTGGCGGAGGAGGGCAGAAACACTCAATGCAAGTGAAACCGCTTCTTTCGGCAGTTTTGAGCTCAGTTTATTAGACACATACAGGATAAATATTCAGGCCTCAGACACACAGGAAGAGACAGAAAGGAGTCACACGCCGGCATCAACAGCTGTTTAAATCCAACACTGTCCATTCTCATTATTTTTCCACTCTTTTCTCACCGTATGGGCTTATTTGATTTCATGATAACATCCCCGAGAAAGAAATGGGACGGCTGATGTGTCCTGATCGAATTCCTCCTTTAAACGTTTCGAAAAATCCAACGACATGAAACAAGTTCTCCATATCTAAGTCTAACCGTCTAAACCACAGAGAGAATAAATCTACCTCACTACACCGTGTTTAACGATATTTTAGACCCGATCACACGACCATAATCCCAGGATATTAAAGTTATTTAGGTATTCCTGATTAAAGACCTAGTTTTCCTAAAGTTTTAAGCAAATCAAAGCAAGTGCTGACTGTGAACTGAAGTGGAGTAAAAACAGCGTCCTGCTTCCCAGAATCTGACAGAGCTGCACTTTGAGGTGGTTTTCGATTTTAAAAAAAGCACTTTCCCTGATGGGATTTGATATAAATATAGAGCAGCTCCCCTGCTGTTGTGCCAAGTGTGTGAAAGCAGGAGCAGAGAGCCCTGCTGGACCCTGATGCAGAGGTATGCCGCCACTCAGCTCCAAGGCGCTCAGCTCCACGCCGGCCGTGTCGGCCATCCGTCTGGCGGTGCCGGCGTCCAAGGGCTGTGAGGCCGCCGGCTTACACAGCAGCCATTTTGCTGGCCTCTCGGACCCCGCTGAGGTAGGCCCCCATCACGGTCTGAGGGAAGTGTCGGTTGGTGGCCTGGTGGGAAAAGAAATGACAAATAATGAAAGGTTAAACCTGGTTTAAAACCAGTGGAATCAAACACAGTCACATATTGAGCATTAGCTGGGTTACTGATGCTCAGAGCCTAAACACAGCCAGCTGGACTTCTTCTTCTTGTGAGACTTTTCTCCTCACATCCTGATGCTTCTTGAAGCCTGAATCCTGAAACAGTCAGCGGACTCGGTGAGCTGGTGATCCATTTCCTGTCCTCACTGAGTTTAAGTGACAATATTCAGCCCGCAGAGTTCATTTTATTTTCTCATTTCTTTTGTCACCAACTGGTTGAGGTAGTTTGGGTTGGGCAGGCAGCTGGACTTCTTGGAGCTTAAAGAAATCTCTGTTTTCATCCTGAAACTTCTTAAGGGGAGGGCTCAGTCGAGGGGTCAGAGATGGTCGATTGTCTGAAAGTCAGTTAATCCTGACCAGAGGAAAAAAGCCCAAAGAAGAAGAGAGCTCTACTCCCTGATTGGCCGGAACAGAAAACAGGAATTCAGCCCCTCTGGCCAGCTTGTTGTACACAGCAAAAACACCAAGTTTCTGTTGCCTTTGGGCTTCAGCTTGAATCCAAATCTACTCCATTTAGTAATCATCTTCCTTCTCTGTGTATTCCAGGAGCTGTGACATTTTGGAGTAATTCAAACTTTTGCCAGATGTTGCGTTTTATCTGGTTTTAATTTCAGCACCCGATTGGTGCCTGGTTTTAGGATTCTTACTGCTGCCGGTTGAATCTCTGGGTTTGTGCTGGTTCAGGTGTGTGTGAAGCAAAGCGTGAAAACGAGCTGCCAAATGGCGGCGTTGGGCGGCTCAGGAGGAGGCAGGAGAGTTACCTCTCCGGCGAAGAACAGCTTTCCCTGCACATCCTCGGCCAGCACGTCGTAGGCCTCCCCGCTGCCGCCCGTCTTCACAAAGCTGTAGGACATCTGAGACCACCTGTCTTTGCTCCAGTGGGTCACAAAGTAGTTCACAGGGTCTGGGACGTCCTGTGGGAGGAAGAGGACCTTTAATCCACAAGCGGAGGGGAAATCCCATCCAAAATGAGGCGAGACAGGTTTATGTTACAGTTTGAGTTTTGTGTCCACGACAACTCAAAGTACCTTACATTTTAAAAGCAGACAATGAAGATAAAGAAAACAAATAAAAATAAGTTTAACCAAATAAAATAAATAGATTAAAGGCTAAAAAAAATTCAG